CATCACAATTACAAATGATTAATTCGACGCGAACGAAGTCGCTGGTACACGGTAGTAACAGTATATAATATAGTTTAAAACGTTGAAATACATTTCTTTTTCATCAAAACGAAGACATTTAAATTCTTTCTGCGCAATTTTAAGAACTTAATATTTTAAAAATTTAATAAACAGCGAGAATCTTAAAAAATCTTTTGTCCTTTCCAACAAAACACGAATCGAGCAAGCCTGGAAAGCAACCTACTAGAAATTATAAACGATTATCGAGGTGTATAATGGGCAGCTTAACTATATTTTTTAATTAAAAATTAATAAATAAAAATGATTGAAGCAGCAGTCATAATAAAGGTGGAATTTTTTTACGGGGATATAATACTAATTAGACGCTTCTACAACAGCGTTCTGGATTAATTAAGTCGATTTTGGATTTAATTATGCAAAATTTTTAATTAGGTCGTTCTCAAACGATGAGATTCTTATCAAATATCTTTGGAATTGATTATATCTAGACATTAAAATCGTTAGAAAAAAAGGAAGATGACAGGTTTGGTTCAAAGAAGTACTTCGTGATAGAGTGAAAAGAACGCCACAATAGATTAAAAAATACGAGGGTAGACCGAAAAGTTTCGGGCTTAAGTAAGTATATATTTAAAAATCACCCTATATATAATAGAATTAAAAATTTTAAATTTATATAAAAGCATCGTCGTTACAAATGATTTGCATCTAGCTTTCAGTAAAGGAAAAAAATAAAATCTTATATTTTTAGATCTTAAAAATTCTTTTTCTGGATACATTTTCCTGTAAAAATTACGGCTTCTTTGCTGGGAGATATTTTTCTTGGCAACGACCTACCTCTACGTACATTCGCTTCGTATTAAAACGCAATCTACGTTAAAAGGTCGGGCGTGCTAAGCTATATATATTTATTATAATCCCGCTCCTTCATTCGTACGAGAAAAACTAATTTTCCGGATAGTGCTGTCGTTTTCCTGGAGTTTTCCAGCGACTAAAATCATTATTAAGATATATGAAGTTCTTTTCGAACTGTTTGATAACTAACGAACATTTGGAGGGTGGTCAGAATAGTTAGATTAAAGTGGATTAGACTTTTTCAGATATTAATTACAAAGAAGCGATTGCCACTTATTTTTAAAGAACATATAACAACATTATTGATGACAAGTTCGATATGAATGACTATAACGAAACGCAATGCTAAGGCGCTGTTTAGTCCATGCATATATGTAAAGTAACTCCTGTATTGTATCGTGATCATGTATCACGCACCGCGAGCCTGAATAAAATTTGACGTTTATTTCCACAATGTCGAGTGAATATGCATATCGTGCCAAAGTAAAGGTCCATACTTATAAATTCATACTGTAATCACAGCGTACAAGCGTGCGTATCAGGGGGGATTGACGTACAACAAATCATTCTTTGTATCGTCGTATCATGTTCATCACTTTCTTAAACCCTCGATGCCCCTTTGATGATCTGAGCGTTCCGCCCCAAAGCCGGGTCCACATATGTAGCATCTTTGTGTATCATCTCCGTCGCGTTGCACCAACATGTACTCATGATCGCGCGTCTGGATTTAAATTAACGCGATCATATGCGGTACACCTTTGTGATACCGCATCTCGATAAGCATTAATCCAAATTTTGGCGCGTATCTTAACACCGCATATCGGATATGCGTAATTACCGATCTGTCATTTGGACGTGTGTTGCCAGTATGTATAACTATACATACGCCGTGGACCTGACCCCTGAGGCGGTTTATCTCCCGATCATCAAAGGGGCATCGAGGGTTTGCCTGACAAGAATTGATGAACATGATAATGACGACGATACAAGGTGTTTTGTTGTACCGTCCACATACGCACGCTTGTACGCTGATACGTGTATGAATTTTATGGGCATGGATGCTTACTTTGGTATGATATGCATATTCAGTCGACACAGTCCAAATAAAACGTCCATACCTTACGATACAAGCTTTTGATACGTGATACGCGATTCTGATACAATAGAGGCATTATGTGGACCTGGCTCAAGACGCGACGTCGGCGTAATCGTTTCAATTATATCATTATAATTCGTATCAAAACACGTCCAAATGACATAGATCGTGATACGTGTATCCAATATTTCGCAGTGTTAAGATACGCTTAAAAATTCGATTGGTGCATGTATCAGATACGGTATCGTTGGGCAAAATTCATATGATCAAAGTGTTAATACGGCGTCCAAACTAGCGATCATGATATATGTTGGAAAACGCGACGGAGATATGATACACCAAGATGCTACATATAGCGAATCCGGCCTTAGTTACAATAAGTTTCAATAAAAAGTTCGTATCGAACGTGTATCATGTATCATTCAGTAAAATTTAATCATGACATTACCACGAGGGACGATCCAAACAGATTTGATTTAATTTTAAAATATCTGTAGATATCCTCATACAAAATTAAAATTCAAAATTATCAGATATCTATTATTAGTCGACGCCGTGGTAATCGTGCTTCTTTCTGTTTCCATTTTTGACTTTGATAAACTCCAATTATTGATGTTCAATTTGTGTTAAACGTTCAGTTTTAGCAAAGCAAAAAATAATAATAATAATGGGTGACTCTGATTCTGAAAGTGTCCTTCCGATATTGAGGGCATTGCGCAAAAACGTTGTCGATTCCCCTACTTCCCGAAAAAATCAAGACAAACGTACGAGCAAAGCCAATGTAAAACTTGAAGATTGGTGTAAAGGGAAAGGAATCAAGAACAGTAGTAACGAAAAGGTTCTCCTGGCATATTTTGAACATCTTTCAAAACATAGGAAGGCTTCATCACTTTGGATATATTATTCCATGCTACGTTCAGTTATATCAGTGAAGAAAAATACAGATATTAGTAAGTACGTCCATCTAATTGTATTTCTAAAAAGAAAATTGGAAGGATTTCGGTCAAAAAAATCGAGAATTTTAAGAAAAGAAGACATAACTCGTTTTTTGTTGGAAGCCGATGATAAAACTTATTTCCTGACAAAAGTTTCATTGATAGTGGGACTTACGGGAGCCTGCCGGCGTATCGAGTTGACAAATCTGCAGCTGCAAAATGTTAAAGATGAAGGACAATGCATTCATGTCATTATTCAATTTACGAAAACAAAGATATCATGAGATTTTTTTTATAACGAAAGGGAATGTTGAAGGAATAAATATGGTGGAAATGGTTCGAAGATATATAGCTATGCGGCCAAGCAACACAGAGCATACTCGATTTTTTGTGAGGTACAGAAATGGAAAATGTATCAAGCAACTCGTTGGCATTAATACTTTAGGGAAAATGCCGTATAAAATAGCATTGTTCCTAAGTCTTCCAAATCCACAACAATACACTGGACATTGTTTCCGTAGATCGTCTGCGTCGTTGCTTGCAGATTCAGGAGTGGATTTATTAACTGTTAAAAGACATGGTGGTTGGCGCTCTAACACAGTGACAGAGAGTTATATAGAAAATTCCAAAGAAAATAAGAAAAAAGTGTCATGTAATATTTTGGGTAACATTTCTGGCAATGATGTGGGTCTTCAACAAGTTCAAGCACTCAGGAAATAAATTTACTTTCTAAGAATTCAACTCACCTGTCATCGTCTGGAATTAATTTAACCAATTGTACTGATATTATAATTAATGTTTACAATAAATAAACGTGACCTTTTTTTACTTGTTGTTAATGATATTGTCGTTACTAATGATATTGTCGTAGATTAATGACAGTAACACGAGACATACCAACACCAAGAGGCATTAGACAAGGAGACAGCCTTCTTATTCAATCTTTTAATGGACACCATCATAAAAAAGGTCACCTCGAGGTTATCGAATGGGACACAACAGAGTTAGCATGGTATGTTACGCTGAAGATGCGGCCATTATCGCGGAGATAGAGGACGATATGCAGAGACAGCTTCATAAATTCTATCGGGTAAGCCGAGAATTAAATATGATTATCTCCCAAGAAAAAAACTAAATGCTTAACTTTCTCTAAAAGAGCCGGTAAGATGCAAACTGGTAGTAGAAAACAAAATTATTGAGCAGGTATCACAGTTCAGATACCTAGGAATAGATATGTCGCACTACCATGATCCAGCAAAAGATCTGAGAAGCCAAATAAACGGAGCAACGGCCATGTCAGGATATCTGGGGGTGCTTCATAAATTCTATCGGGTAAGCCGAGAAATAAATATGATTATCTCCCAAGAAAAAAACTAAATGCTTAACTTTCTCTAAAAGAGCCGGTAAGATGCAAACTGGTAGTAGAAAACATAATTATTGAGCAGGTATCACAGTTCAGATACCTAGGAATAGATATGTCGCACTACCATGATCCAGCAAAAGATCTGAGAAGCCAAATAAACAGAGCAACGGCCATGTCAGGATATCTGGGGAAAATAGTGTGGACAAACCCCTTCCATGCGAACAGGCAGCAAAATTAAAATTTATAAGACCTCTGCATCAGACCAATAATGACATATGGCATAGAAATCTGAGAAGAAACAAACAAAACCAAAAGCATGTTAAGAGTCGCTGAAATGAAGAATCTAAGAACTATAATGGGAAAGACTAGAAGATACAGAATTAGAAACACAAATATCAGACAACAATGTGGAATACAGGACGTAGTGAGATGGGGTAGGCAAAGAAAAAGACAATGGTTCTCAGACGTAAAACGCATGGAAGAAAACAGGCTGCCACGCATAGCTCTTGAAGGGAAACCCATGGTAAAAGATGGACTTAGTGAGAGGAAGACCTCCAAAAAGATGGAAAGACAGTTGGCAAAAGAGCCAAGCAAAAACTTTATATGGAATGCGTTTTTAAAAATGATGATAATAAAACAGTTTTTCCTCTTGTAAAGACAATCCGGGGACACTAAGGTACTGTATATTTCTTTATATGATCTTTCTCTGTTCTACCATACATTTATAACTTACCTCTGTTTGAAATGTGCACAATAGATGACATAAGTAAGGATGTTTAGTACCCAAAGCTAGTACTTTTCTTTCTATTAGGGTGCATTCGACATCATCATCTTCAAGTACTACGTCTTTCTTCAAGCATTTCACAGCATAGTAGTATTCAGTACCTTTCAATTCGGCAAGTAATACCTGAAACAAAACGGAAAGTTAAATTTACTAACTATAGTAAATACCTAGTATAGATAGTTTTCATTTCAAAAATATTGTTCATAATATTAATGAACATTGATTATTAACTGTTGTTTCATTGGGACAATGATTTTTTTCATTATATTAATAATTTGTTATGCATAGATCGATGCCTGATTTATTAATAGTATGAATCTAATTTCATCAATATAATGAAAATCTGGTTATTAAATTAATGTAAGATTTTCATTAATATAAAGAACGCGTTCATTGTCCCAATGAATGCGTTCTTTATTTTAATGCAGAAACTTTAATGAACACATATTCATTAGATATTGTAACGAAAATATTTTCGTTACATTTTTCCTTTTATATCGTTTATCCGTTTTTTTATATATTATGGATTTTTTGCGGAACCTCGATAGTGGTACACATCACTAGCGATGGTTGTTAGTTTAAATTGTTTAAATATTTTATATATTTTCTGGTTGCCTTTGGGTTACCGATAATAATTTGTTTATTTTTAATGAAAACGAAGGTTTATTATTAATATTTTGTTTAGTGTTAAATAATTAAGATGCAATTGTTACACACATTTTTTTGAAGGTATGTAGGAAATTTTATCGTATGTATTATTTTTACTATTAATTATAAATTTTTATATTGACATTTGGTATTTAACGCATGTCTAAATGAATGGGAGAATTCTATAAAGGGACTTGTTTTGCCGAAAATCACTCTCTCTCATCTCGATCTTCTTTGCTTAAACACCTAGTTTTTTTCCAGACACCGGCACGAGGTACGACTTGGAAATTATTTATTAGTTTTATTTTTTAAACATTTTACTATCTAATATGGATTTAATTTGTTTGATTTAATTATTTAATTAGCTTGTAACTTTAAATTCTTTTTCTATTTTATCTTTTTATCTCACAGTTCATTTTTTATCATCATTTCTTTATCTTCTTATCTTAGTAGCACGTGTATGGTAGTTTTGTAAAAAATTTTCTAATACCTTTTCTTTTATTTAGAACTAATTAATTTTATCTTTCTTATTTATGTACTGAGACGCAAGCTGTCAACAGGAACCTGCAGAGGTGTTCGATTTTAGTAATCTCTAGGGCCATGAATAGAATCAATCACTGCAGGAGTACTCTCAGAGACGAACCAGGAGAGGGACTCTGGTAAGTAAGGATTTTATAATATTTATATTATACGACTTATGTCACCTTTAACGAATCCTTGCTTGCCAGAAGGCAACTCTGTTTTTATCTGGACCCTGTAGTGATGTAGTGTCTATTATTGGCAGGCCATTCTGACAGATAGATTTTTGTTTTGTTGTTTTTGGGTCACTCTAGGGAACGTATCTTTACCTCGTATCTGCCAAATTTACCTTACCTTATCTTTATCTTATTTTATGGATGCATTATCTTTGTTCCTGGGTGACATATCTTTTCTTTTAGTTTTTATCTGTCGAATTGAGCATTTTTCGTTTTTTTCGTATCTTTATCTCTAACTTTCTATTTACCTTTATCTTTCTATCTAGTTTTTAATTTATCTCTTTTAATATCGCATTTTAGTATTAACTTCTTTGTTCTAATTTAAATTTTCATACATTTCTAGTTTTTTAATCTTACATATTTTTTTATTCTTTTTACACGTGTCTACAAATTAAATCAAATAATTTACTGTAACAATATATATTTTTTTCAAGTCGTACCGAAGTGATTGTGGTGGTCTGGAATTTTCTAGAGAGAGAGAGCAAAATATTTTTCTTTTATTTTTTTTTTATAATTCTATATTTATATTCTTTAAATAATTTGGATAATCTTTTCAATTATAACGTAATTTAAACTGTCATTGCCTATTTTCTTTTTTAAATTTTAATTATAATTTTTATTATAATAATTCGTAGTTGGATTTAGATATTGATTATTGTTTATTTGAATCACTAATATGTTGTTTAATCATAAGTTATTTTTATTGTACCTTCATTGGCAACCAACAGACAGTTCAATTGGTAATTTAGAACACCACCACAAAACTGGGTACTTATCAATTGTGTTGAGTAGAATACTGCTGTTTGTTATCTTCTAGGAAGATACGAGAATTGACCCTCCCCATAAGTAGCTCACGCACTGAGACTGATGGAGTCTCACAAGCTCTCCAACGTTTGCCGGACAATCACGCTACCCACCAGCGGACGAGTGCAGCGAAGAGGGTGAGGCCTTTCTCCTAACCAACCGAAGCAGAAACACTTAAGTATTCCAGTTGCATATCTAATCTCATATAATCGAGACTGTCACAGCCAATATTGTTAATAACTGTTAATTAAATATAAGTCATTAATGAAATTTTCTATTGTCTTATTTAATTCCAAAGCATACTTCCACAAACCAGTAACTTTTAGAATTTTGTGGGTTATAAAGTTCATAGAGTTAATGAATTACTTTTCATTGTGCCAATGAAATCGTTCATCGGCTCAAAATTAATGATTTAATTCATTATATTAATGAACTTTTTCATTATATTTATGTCGACTTTTGATTCAGTGTACTATTTTTTTAAATGCTGAAAAAATATCTCTGAAACTATCAAAACATATTTAATAATAGCTTAGTTATGTAAAATGGAAGCCAAAGCCAGTATGGAAGCCAAAAATGCAATAATATACAGTGTCTTTCATTTAAAAAAAATTATCGCGATCCACGCACACATTTTTAAACCACTCTGTAGAAGTTCAAATATTTTCCTTTTAATTTTTTGGATTTAATGTTTTTTTTTTATTTTATTATTAGTGACATGACACTTTCCGGAAATTTTACTAATTTGTAAAATTCATTCCTTGTAAAACCAAAATTGTCAAGATTTAAAAATATGATTATTTATTTTTGATTCTGTATTGTTTATGAAACATTCGAATTATTATTTTGATTTAATTCAATAAATATTTATTTACATTTTATTCTCGTTTGTCTACGTATATTTCGAAACCAAATAAAAATAATTTTATTTATTTATTTGTCAACTATATTTATTACAACATGTTCTGAAGGGAAAAATTATTGGGTTTTTATAGTGAAATATTGCCGAAAAATGGGTAGATACATATTTTTTATTTGCATAAAAAGCAAAATGATGTGACTGTCAACAAGTTGGTAATAAATCAAAAAACGCATGACAAGGGAAAAGAAAAATAAATATTTGGGTAAACAGGTCAAACACCTAAAATAACAGGTCATATACTATAGTTGAAAAAAAATTGTGCACTATGTGCGCATATTGGAAGTGAATTTTTACCCTACTTTTCAAAAATCTTTTACTTATATTTCTCTATCGTCTTTTCTATATGAAATGTAAGAACTTGATTAAATTTTGAGCAATTTTATGCAAGAGAAAATATCCTCAATGGCGACAAAATCATTTTACACCTGTTTGCGTTTCTTTATATAGTATATTTCGGTATCGACGCATTCCATTTTGAGGAATTATTGGATTTTTTTTTCAAAAAGAGTCCATGAAAAAGACTATTCGTGCGTAAAGGAATACAGGGAGTTTATAGAATACAAGGGTAGATCCATAAGTTTAACATCAATTTTCTGAAATTTTTAGAAATGGGCAAAATGTGAGGAATTTTCAGTGTTTTTGAGACATTTTGTGAATTGTGTCACTTTCAATAAATAATTGAAAACATCTTATGACATCTCTACCACACGTCTGACAGTATTAATGATTTTACGTATAGGAAGTGTAAAAAGCAAGTTTTGGTAGACCGAATATTGAAGACGACACTATTATACAGTACTTCCTGTTAATTTTTTTTTTAAATTCTTCGAATTTAGAATTTTAATAGAGCTTTAAATAAACAGTAAATTTAGTTTAAAAACGGTTATATTTCAAAAACCACTCGGTATAGAATATTACATTATGGTATTTTTAGAACAAAAATTTAGTGACAAATTCACTAAAAAAGTATACAGGGTTGTTCACCACATACGACACGGAATATTGTAGCTAAACGATTAGATTTTTACAAATTGTAAGTTTTGGGTTCGTTGAAAGACTATTAGAGCTACAATTTAAAAATATTTTTACAAGATACAGTGTCCCAAATAAATAAAAAATATCAAAGTTGTTTTTTTTTAATAGAACACCCTGTATATTATTGCATTTTTAGTTTCTACAATTAAAATAAAGGTAAATTTGATTACGGTTTATTACACTTAAACCTTACCGTTTTTGAAATATTTTCAATTTTCTGATATTGCAGTATAAATTTTAAGGCTTCATTTCTCCGAGGGTATCAAAATTTTTAATACTAAATATTTACTGAAGTTTATTTATTTGAATCAGTTATTTGTTGGCAGGAGAGAGAAATTTTACTACCTTATACAGACAGAGGTAGCAATATTTTTTTAAAATAATTAATTAAGCTTTAAACGGCAAATAACTTGGTTTAATTTAAATGGAAACACCCCTGTATATTTATGAGAATCAGAATGTACAATTTAATTGTCTATCAAATTGGTATTATGCCATTTTTTACCTATTCTTCAAGTTTCCGTAGAAAAGCCATTTTCTTGTAATTTAGAACTCATTTATCAATATACCCAGGGAATAACTGACATTTTAGATTATTTTAAAACATGTACAAATTTTTAAAGAGTACAAGATACTAATATTGTCGATAATAGTTCGTTTTATTTCAATTAAAAAATAAAAAAAACTGTTTAAATATTTGTTAAAGAGGACCAATTAATAATGATTCAGTATTCAAACTAACCTTAATTGACTGTTTTGCGTTGATAAATCATAATTGCTCCAATACTAAAAAAACTGAATTTTTTTTTTTTTTTTTTGTTTTGTATTATAATATAGTAGATAATATTAAATTAAAACTGATATTTTTATTTTCAAAAATGCTTATTTATAACAGTGACGTTCATTTTCATAACTTATTATTATATTGATTTCTGATTAAAATCCTCATTTATTTAGAA